CACATCAACTTCAACAGTGTTTGGAACAAACATTCTAAGCCAAAAAAATCCAAGCCGAATCTATCAGATCGTAATCAAACAGAANGATCAACTCTCCTCTTCAAGAAACCCAATTCTGTAACACAAATTAACCGAAGTTTAAATCCAATAACCAAGAAACCTTCACCAACTGATTCCATTGTGTCACATAGCCACAAAGCTCTCTCAAGTCAAATCAAGCCAATAACCCTCCTCAAAGCACGCTAACGTCCACAACAAAAATGGCAATTTCAACTTTTGAACAAAAATTAGTTATGCATCCAATTAGAGTAGTAATTCCAAAATTGCAGATTGCAAATTGCAAGAATGAGTGAAACAGAAGTGGTTGAAATATAAAATGTTAAATTGTTTAATGAATTTAAATATCTTCATTATATGCCTAAATAGCAATAATCGAACGCAAACCTTTGCGACATCGCCTAAAGAAACCAAATTTTCTGTTAACTTTCTCTGATCTCGTTTAACCTTTCGTAATCTGAAATTTTAATCATGATTCTATTAGAAATTTCTAAATTTTCCCAAAAAAAAAATTGCAAATTTAAAAAAAGAAGCAAAGAAAATGCAAAAAATGTTTTCATAAATGACTGACGCATAGATTGCGACTAAAAATTTCCGCTGATGCATGCGAATTTTTGCTGGTTCAATTCTATCAACCAAACATCGATGTTTATAAATTAGCCACGTTTCACGTAATACGTTTGCTGCTGTATGTTTCAACTGCAATTTAAAGCACTGATATGATATAAATGATAAGAGAGTCTTGAATCTTGAGCAAATTATAAAGGTTAAATACTATTTAAAATGAAAACTATTGATTGAGTCTATCAAAATTGATGAAATTTTCAGAAGTAATAAAAAAACAAAAATTTCACGAGTAAAAATGCTAATAAAAATTGATTATTACTTGTTTGGTAAGTTGTGTATCCATCATGAAATTATGTACATGTTTTTCAGCACGAGTTAATTCAAGCTTTCGTGCTATTACTGCCACTACCATTGATGATGTACATGTACCCTGAAAGTAATCAGCATACTTTAATCTTTTATAGAAATTTAAAAAATTCAATTCATTTTAAAATGGAGTTGAATAGAGGTTGCAAAAGAAAAAATGAGAGATGTTTTTAATTTCAAAAAATAATCAAGATATTAAAAATGTCCAAAAACATTCCTTCGAAATAAATTATTTCTATTTATGCAAAAAAAAAGTAAAAGTTAAAGTAAACTTACTAAAATACCAGTAATAACAGCCATCGCACGTCCACAATATGTATTTGGCACAATATCACCTGCAAGTTTTTAAAAGCTAAGCAATTTGAAACTTTCGTATCATTTAGCAAGATATTATTTCATCGTTATTAATAATCACAATCACAATGATCAACAATCATA